GAAGCCACCAATAGAACTAAAAGCATCACCGAGTCTCTTCATACTACCCAGTCATCCAACAGAAGTACACCCCCTTTTCTAGAAACTCACCCTGATTGTCTGCCTTTTATCAGGGAAAAACTAGGAAACCAAAATCTTTCACGGGCTTCTCAAGACATTATCATATCATCATGGAGAAAAGGTACTATAAAACAAGATCGCACCTACCTATTACGCTGGCAGGAGTTTTGTCGATGTGAGGGATTATCGTTATACAGCCCTAGAATGGCGAATGCCATTGAATTCCTAACTGAAATGTACAAATCTGGACTAGGATACAGTGCCATAAACACGGCAAGATTTGCACTTTCATCAATGATACTACCTACTTCAGGTGTTACGTTTGCCAAAGACCCCTTAGTTTGCCAGTTTTTTAAAGGGGGGTTTGAACTTAAACCATGCCTTCCAAATGGGATGTTAACACCATTCTTAGTTACTTAAAAACATTTGATCCTACAAAGGAGATGGCATTGAAAGATATCACAACAAATCTGGCAACTCTACACTGCTTACTGACTGGACAACGTTGCCAGACTATACACAAAATTAACTTGAATTTCATACAATCTCATGATGAAAAAGTACGATCACGATACGTGAAATACTTAAACACACAAAAGCAGGTAAACACCAACAACCTATAAGATTACAAAGCTACCCAACAGATAAAAAACTCTGCATCATAGAGCACCTTAGACAATACATAACCCGTACTGAAACTTTAAGGGGAGAACAATCGCAACTCTTCATCAGTTTCACCAAACATTACTGTCCAGAGTGACCAAAGACACCATTGCCAGATGGGTCAAATCAACTTTGGAAAAGTCCGGAATCAACACCAAAAAATTTACACGCCACAGTATTCGGGCTGCCTCAACTTCATATGCTAAAACAGCTGGACTAAACTTGAGACAAATCCTGCTATCAGCGGGATGGTCAAATGCTACCACGTCAAGTGGTACTAGACATTACAGGAAACAATGAAACTTTGCATCTACTAACAAAATTTTACCATCAGTTAACTTTTATGAGATTCAGCTAAATACACCTAAATGGGGTACCTTATTAATATTTTTTTGAACTGAGTCCTCTTTATAATACATAATTGATTGATGACATTGCGTGTAACATATCAATTCCCATCTCGCAGCCGCAGAACTTTGAAATCTCATGTGACTCTAAAGTGACGTGAGTGATGACGTTGTAGAATTCTCAAATTAAACGAGACTTACCTGTAAATTGATGTTTGATTGGAATTCTACTAGTCATCAGTCAGAAACGAAGGAGTCACACGCCCTGCACTACCCATCCCCCCCGTGACTCCTTCGATTCCTTAATTTCTGAAACTTCTCTCGTAGAAAAACTGATTAGCAAGCGACGCACGCGCGATTCTCATGTGACTCCTTCGTTCCTGACTGATGACTAGTAGAATTCCAATCAAACATCAACTTACAGGTAAATCTCGTTTAATTTAAAAATTTTTCTAGAACTCAATGGTCAAAACCATAGTCAAAAACTGCAGGCAACGACGTAGTTGCTCTATGTATGAATTTTGAATTGGCTAATCGTATGACGTATGTAGAGTTTTAAAATACTTCATGTAATTTCCTTTGAAGTTATAAAACTTGCCTCAATTATATGCTGATTTTGTGAAAAATCCTTCAAACTATTTAGATTTTATAAACTATAATTCGCAATAAATCATTGAAAAAGAATCATTAATTTTCTGGATTTTTCAACCACGTCATGCGACATACTTAACGTAGTCTGGATCCGCCCCAGGATAATAAAGCCGTTGATAGAGAGCAAATTATTGAGACAGCGATGCAGTTAAAGAAAACTTGGAGCTTAAATCAAAACTTATAGTACATCATCGGACTCTATTTATTGATCATTTCGCATTTATTGAGTGCGAAAAAGTATCTCAAAATAACCATGGAAATGATGGTTACGAAAGTACTAACTTTTAAACAATATATATGTCGAAGACGTCGAAGCGGAAGATCATGTTTAAAGACTTTTTTTACTTGAACGTTTAACGAATTTTCCAAGTTATATATACATGATTGAATTTGAGCTCTTACTATACATCTTGTTTATTGTTCTCTTTCGCAATTTACTTACGATGTGGTTTTGATGGTTTGCGATTGGTTCAAAACGTCAAATGCAAACGGTACACAAAGATATCATGAAAACGTACATTTTTGCACATTTGAGAAAGAATAACTGTACTTTTATAATCTAATATTCTGATTTTTGTACATTATCAATGAGGAATCAATTGTGACTTAATGTAATGTGATATTTCAAAAAAATGTTTAAGTTACCTGAATCAATTCTACAAATTTGAAGTTCCTTGAAAGATTACTTGGTGTCGATAGTTTTTCCTCCTTAGAAATGACGCAGAAATGAAAATAACATTGGAATGATTTCTTTATGAACCCCTGACAAGCTGTTTAAATCTGAACTATGATTGGACACAAGTAATTCACAAATCCACCCCCACGTATTACGTAAAAACATTTTAAATCGAAATACAAATAACTCAATTAACTATTTAAAGCTAAGTGGCTACAGACGATAATTAAAATATTTTTTGGTTGTTGAAATCAAATGCGTGAATTCCTGTCTTGTTTCCAACAGGAGCTAAATATTAATGTTAAGCAAATGTTGTTAAGTATTAACATTGGCTTATGAAAAAGCCCTTCCTCTTGCTTTTTATACTCGACATCGAGTTTTGTTAATAGTTGCAAAAGTGGGTTTTAATGATAAACGTAGTTTCTTTTTTACTTGACTGTGTTTGATTCATTGATGCGATGATCTCGTGCGATTAAATCAATAGAAATCGATATGAGTCCCTAAATGCCAGTTGTTTGGGTCTTTTGGCAATTCTTTCATTTACAACTATCTGCTTTATACAACTACACTTTGGTGCAATATGTGTTTTCTTTTTATTAATGTACAATTTTCGTGCAAGTGTTTTATAATGTTGTAAGCTTCATTTTCGATGTAAGCTAAATATTAGAGATGGAGGGAATCCTTGTATATAATTAGCTTCTTGACGTTCTCCACGTGGAATTTTGTCGACAATCGTTTTTCTTCCGCAATTTGATCGTTCAATAACCAAAGATAAAATTAAATGTCCAACGTAGTTAGGTTCTATGTATAAGCCTTAAACGAAACAGTTCTTTATCTGCACAATTATAACATGACAATTTTGCTACATGCGAAGAAATTGTAAAATTATCTGATTCCAGTAATGCCAGTTGTCTTTTGCAATTCTTTCATTTAACGCTATATGGTTATCAACAGTATTACGCCTTGCAATACGGGTCACTAAGAAATTCGTCTGTATCTTTTTATATTGATTTGCATAATTATATACAGTAAAAAGAAATGGGCCATTTTAGCCCCATGAGGTCGTTTTGGCTTTTGAAATTGCTAGCCGTATTGGCTAACAATGAGGGCTAAAATAGACAAAAGAGCCGTTTTGGCTCCATGACGGTTGTTTTTGCTCTCCAATTGGTGCCAAAATAGAAATATACGGCCAATTTGGCACCATGAGGACGTTTTGGCTTTTGAAATTGCTAGCCATGTTGGCTAACAATGAGAGCTAAAACAGACAAGAGGGGCCGTTTTGCCTCCATGAGGGTTGTTTTTGCTCTACATATATGTAGCTACAATTTTCATGTAATATTTGTATGATGGACATGAAACATAAATCCCCTTTTTTTTATACTCAAAAATTGAGTTTCATTTCCTCAATTTAATCGCTGAACAACAAGAGCGAATGCGTATGTCAAGAGCGAATGCTTATTTTCAAGCCTTCTATCCCACTGACTCCACTGCTTTTATTCAAACAATGACATCCAGATAAAATCGCTAATTTAAAAGATATTGTTAAATCACATGCATTCCCGAGCATTTCGTAATTTTAATACAAGATTTGAAATTAGTTATTTGAACTATCGTTAAGATTTTCAATGTTCTCTGATCTTTTCTAGACGTTATATTTTTAAAATGTTGATTGATTTTCGTCAAATGTTATTTGGAGATCAACCAATGAGTTATATGCTTCCAACATAAACATTTAATATTACTAACTTGCTAAAATACACCAAAGTCATAATTGGAACATTTAAATGTAAAAAACATTGGCTTCAAATGAACAGTGACACCATAGGGATTAGTCAATTTTTTAAGTTAATGTTCAGAATATCAAAGATATGAAATAGAAATTCCGTGATATATTATCATGAAATAGTAGCTAATTGAAAAGATTACAATGGTGACATTAGTTAACGTGTTCGCATTTTAAATTAAGTGCACATATACAGTATAATATTAAACTTTCTGTGTAATTACAGTTACTTTATGGTGACACACCGAGTTTTTTAGGATTATTTCAACTCAAACCACCAAATAAAGCGTTTTCCGTATCTTATCGTGTACGAGTAAAGCGATTGAGTCACAGAATAGAGATCATACAGATTACAGAAATTCCACTCTTTCCGGAACCTTTGAAAGTTTTTATCTCCAAGACGTCATGGTAAAAGAAAACTTCTTTAAAAATTTGTCGTGCGTGAACTATAACGCAGAAAAATCGGTTTTTTGAGCTTGTCGTTTTTTGACGGCGTTAATGTCTATCAGTTTTCAAAACTGGAGTCCATTGCAAATTTTTGCAATGCACAAGATTTGTAGATTTTCTTTGGTTTTCTCTTAAGCAAAAATCTAAAAATGGCAAATGTGATTAATTGCATGAAAATTAATATTTCAATAGAAATTTTGCCGCAGTGAGTTAATTGATAGTTAATTGTCGTTAGCTTTTCCTTCTTTGAAATGACGCAGAAATGAAAATAACATTGGAATGTTTTCTTTATGAACCCCTGACAAGCTGTTCAAATCTGAAATATGATTGGACACAAGTAATTCACAAATCCACCCCCACGTATTACGTAAAAACATTTCAAATCGAAATACAAATAACTCAATTAACTATTTAAAGCTAAGTGGCTACAGACGACAATTAAAATATTTTTTGGTTGTTGAAATCAAATGCGTGAATTCCTGTCTTGTTTCCAACAGTAGCTAAATATTAATGTTAAGCAAATGTTGTTAAGTATTAACATTGGATTATGAAAAAGCTCTTCCTCTTGCTTTTTATACTCGACATCGAGTTTTGTTAATAATTGCAAAAGTGGGTTTTAATGAGATACCAAACCAGCGACAAGTGTAACCTGCAAAGTAATAAAATGGATTTATATGGAAGTTTTCTTGAGAGAATTTTACATCTATCTTCTACAGTGACAGCCATTTTTCTACGATAAAATATAATGCATATTTAGGTTCGGGGAACTGAAGTACTTCATGTATGGGTATTAATGTGCAAACATAATATATATTCAGTAAACATAGAATTATGACTCATACTTACAATTTGAAAAATTTTAAGAATGACCGATGGTACAGTTAAGCTCATTGTTTGATCTAAAAGAGTAAAATGTAATTAAACTTAAAAAAATGGAATGGACATAATTCTGCTCTCTCCCGTCTTTTTCTCGACAGATTAAACATGTTTTCTTTCTCGAAAGTGCACATTTAATTGACTATGTAGATTTCTATTATTCAATTCTTATTTGCAGTTTTTTAATCTTTGGAGTAGCTATTTTAACCACTTAAAATTAAGGCTATCCATTGCTTAGGAATATGACCTATTTTGAAATGCGTACCCGATTTGCAGCTTCGTGACACTTGAGTTGTACGTAGAGCTTGTCCTGATGTTTCTCAACGATGTTTTATCTATTTATGATTTAAGGCTTCTTTTAACCAGTTCTTTGTACGAGGTTTGATAGTGATGATGTGTCAACCACAGATCACGTCACAGTCAATATTACCCCACCTAGTTAGCAAAGGAGAGAGGTTGCTGATGTTTTTTGCTTTCAACCAGAAACAAAACAAAAAAGAAAAGACATCAAACGTCACCAGTGGAACATAAGCATGCAGATTCACACGTAGCACATAATAAATTATAGATAATTGATTAGCCATCTCCAGTCCGCGTTCCTTTTGATCAAAAACGCAATTGACTAGCTGGCTTATTGGAAACTCATGAGTAGCACAACTTGTATTTGACAGAAAATATCAATGGAGTGTTTCCTATACAATATGTAGTAACGTTATGTGAAGTCGTAAACCATGACAGATGATAGGCTACAGTATATACGACTAAATGACCGCATAAATGATAAATGCGTGGATAAATGGAGGATTAGATTAGGGTACAGTTTTGGTTATGAATTGTAGTTAGCTATCATATTTTACGCAAAAATTTCTGGAAATGTTTTTATGTGATGGGGTATTTTACCTTTTTGAGGAGAGATTATATTTTTATCCAATACGAGATTGTGTTGTTAAAACACAAAGAAAACGACAGGCTCACTGACGTTAGAAACATCTTCAGATTTCCTGTTTTCGGTCAATTTAAACATTCTTAATCTTCCAGAATTCCAAGATGCGAAAGAAACATCTGGATCTTTTTTTGTGTACATAAGTTTTAACCTCAGCGTCTTTGGTGCCAGACTTTCTCATACGAAACCCGATTTGGAAAAACATGGCGTTCAAAAACTTTGACTTCTTCACCAAATATCATGCTCATAAGCATTCCTGCAGGAACACATTTGCTATTTTTTGAAATACAATAAATGTTACACAAACATGTGCAGTTGTAGATGCAAAGACAAGTAGTCTTGATCTCTCGATCAACTGCATGATTGAAGTGCAATCTATAAGTTTCGAATTTTTAGGTCATATGAGTTTCGAGTGACGTCTTGATCGTTTACACAATTCTTACTGCAGGTCAATATGTGTGTAAAGCACAATGTCATTAAATTGAATTCGTTGGTTTCTTTTCATCAGATATATGCACTGGTATCAGTTCTTCCCTCTTGCCGATCGCTGTTTCAAGAATCCTCTGGGTTTTTAGCATAAAAGTCTCAAGATTCTTTAAACCATCCCAAGATCCCTAGGTACAGTAAATGATATATGGATACAGCTTGCATTTTCTGAAATACCAAATCCTGGCCAGAAATTCAGTGCCAGACGGAAAGAGAATTTTAATTATGAATATAATAGCCCAATATTGGACTTTGAATAGAGGACATTACGAAAATAGAATATTGGAAATAAAGGTTTTTGTTTATTGATGCCGTTGTACATATTTCTCATTGTATCTGAAGATGTCTTTAAGATAGACACGAGACGTCATCAATACAGAAACCTTTTATCTCTAATTCATTTTCTTAATGGCTTTGTTAAAGTCTTACGTTGGACAACAATGTTCATAATGAAAATTTTGCGATATATTTCAACTTTTTGCAGGCCGCCATGTTTTCTTCATCGATTGTTGACAACGCAATATGACAGTACTTCTTTAGTGATCAAAAAATTTAAACCTAATTTTTAGGTAAATGACTGACGCCTCACGCCTTCAGATACAACGAATGATTTTCGGTACGGCAACGGTTTTTGCAAAAATTGCTTTATTTCGTCAACAATGACACCCCGAACAAGAATCACAAATCACAGAGTCAGTATTTTAATATAACCAGACGAGCGTTGGGATAACAGCTATAAGGGCTTGAAAGAATAATGTCAGTTTAAGTAACTACATGATTGTAAACATGCATAATTTCATGTGATTATGAATTACAGCATCAAATGGCACGTGAATATGTTACAAATTTTGGGTAAGCTGCCCCTTACGAAAATTTCACATTTGACTTCATATATGAAATTATTATTTACGAAATATCGAAAATACTTTTTTCGATAAAAGAAGACATGTCTATATTGATGCTGTATAAAAAAGTAATAATTTTGTTGCGTTTTATGTCAGAAATAAAAAAAGTGCAGAGACATGAGCACTTCGCACTACAAAGACAATTCTCTTAATCAACAGCAAGGACAAAAATTCTTATTTTTATTCAAATGCATGCTTAATGATGTAACAGTTACTTTACATGAAAATGTTACAATAACCTAAATGACACAAAAATATTGATTTTGTTTGTTGGTTGAGGACTAAATGCGATTAACTAGCTCTCCATGTAAACTCTGTTCCTTAGAAGTTGTGAAAGTGAAAATAGCATCCACTCCATACAATATGGCGGCAATAAAACCAGAGACCTATGAAAGATAATAGAAGTATTTACACTCTTCTTCTCATCAAGAATCACTATATGAACGAAACTACAGTTGCAAAGTTTGCCTTCACAAAATGTAAAATCAACTGTTCAACTTACGATTCCACCAATCATTTGACCACAGGTGTTATCATATTTCCAAATTTCAGCGTCATCCCAATATTCACACCAAGACTCGCCTCCTATGTCCTTGTTGTACGAAGAGAAGACAACGGTAATTAGGCTTGTGGTGACCAATAGCTGTATCGTCCATACACCTTGCACTGTTGCCATCTGTAAAAATGGAATGGCATTTTTCATCATTAAACAGTAAGAAAAAGGCACTCCATATGAAAGGGTTGAGAATAAACCTCGGCAAACTTGAATACTAGATTATACTTATATATGCAGCAAAGAATTTGACAGAACTGATTTACAGATGTAAACTTTGTAAGAAACACTCTTCATGTAGTCTTAAACATAATGAACTTACAGCTACAGCATTGTGCTTTTTATTGATTAATCCACTAAAGTTGAGAACCAATCCAACGATTGAAATAGCAACTCCAACGCCGGTCGTATGGAGAAAAAATTCCTGTCTACCAAGAACGCCTAGTTTATATGCTTCTGAATTTGCATCGTCATAAAAATCAACTAATTCTTTTATGAAGTGACCAACACATCCCAAACCAGCGGCAAGTGCAACCTGAAATATGTAAAAAGAAGGATTTATGTAAGTTTTCTTAAGAGAACTTAATCATTTATATTGTTATGTACGTGCAGTATTTCAGTGGGCGATAGCGATATACTATATTACAAAAATTGATTTATAGATAATACTTACAATTTGACAAATTTTGAGAATGACTGATGGTAAAGTGAAGTTCATTGTTTGATCTGAAACTAAACGTTACTCCAGTGATCAAAGGCGTAACTAGAATGTTAATCGAGGGAGTGTATATTCCTATATTCAGTTGTGCCCTACTGATTTCTTTTGAAATTCAAATTCCTTTCAAAAGAAGTCAGTAGAGCACAACAGAATATATGAATATGCAACCTCCCTAATTAACGTTCTAGTTACGCCACTGGCAGTGTTCATTTGAAAACTATATTTAATTACGAAGTGGATGTCCACCGTTGACCCTCATCTCTTAAATGTATATAGTAAATGTTTTGTATTAAAATCACATTCCCTAAAACACTGAAAACGAAGGCTACCATGCATTATTCATAAAACTGCTTCGTAACAATTTAAAGTACCTGTTTTTTTTTCGAGACTCTTGCTTTTAGTTGTTGAGTGTTGTCTTTGTGTGTCTCAACGGTAACTTATCTATTTACGAATAAAGGTTGGTTTCAACCAGCTTTTTATATGGTATGGTAATAAGTATATGTCCCTGAGTTGTCAACTGTCAAACGGAAATCCTTGTCATAGTGAATATCACACCCCACAGCTACATAAAAAAGTGAGGAGGTTGACGTTGTTTGTTGTCAAACAGACGACTTGATACATTTGATAAACAAGAAAACTACGACCTAATAACGTCACCAGTAAAACATGAACATGCACATTTGCACGCAGCATATACTGATTAGTGCTGAGTGAACATGATGTATGTATTTATGATATAATAAATATCTGACGATTATTTGTAACATATAAGTAAACACAAAGATTATTAAAGATTATAAAACATCAAGTAAAAGACTAAAGTTTTGTCAAACTCGAAATCATATAGTTAATTGACTGCAGACTTGCTTAATGCCTGTCGTATTACAATCAAATACCTTAACTAATTGAAAAGCTCCTCTAATTAGTTGCAGCGACATAAGCAATTGCCACAATACAAAATACCTATCTACAAAAATTCTGACCGGTTTAATTAAAGGAGTTTAACATTAGTGTTGGTGTTAATCTTCTTCTTTGGGTTGGATTAGATATACAATTATTTAAATACACGTCAATTTTTTTATGCATGTGTAGATGCATGTGTTGTATATTGTTTCCAATAAATGTGCTTATGCATGATTTTCTTGTATTCCGCTTTTATCCTTTAGAATTTGTTTTTTGGAAAAGTGCAAGCTGTTACTGAAACGCAAACCGAGCTATATGATGTTAGAAAGTCATAGATTTCTCGTTGTGTGAATTATTACAATTTTCTATCTTCTTTGTCAGATGAATTCCGTGGAGGAACTTCGATCAATTTTACATCTTCCTTTTGTTTCCTACTTACGTCAGTTTTCAGTCATGTTGTCGTTCAGTGTAATCATGACGTAAATATGATTCTTTCAACAATTCCAACGACATTGTTGCTTATTCGTTCTTTACAAGCGTTAAAAGTAAAGGTGCAAACGTCAACAAGCAATAACAGATTTTAGCTTCACATTACTGAAATTAAACTTTTTAAATAGTAAAATTGGACGAAAGCATGCAATTTCTTTTATTCAATGTATCAATTATGTAAGATTATTTCCCCACAGTTTCAATTTTCTCTATCAATTTTTCATCTTTTGAAAATCATAAAAAATCAACCTTTTGCCCCGTAGCTATCCTTTTTGTTTGTATTGAATGTTTAGTTTTTCCTTATGAAGTTATTAACATGCTATTGAATTTTGTCTTTTATCTTAAGTCATCGATTAATCTAGTTGAACTTTTGAAAAGGTTAATGAGTTTTTGTTTGTTCTAATGAATATTGCAAAGATTTATCAATATATTGCACCGTGTTATTGAACGTTTATTTTTGTTAAATGCAGGGAAAAGGCGCAAATGCAATGATGCATTCGGAATCGAAAAAATGGCTATCATGTAAGCAAGCTTGCACAGCTTAAAGATAGGATCCACATTAAAAGTCATAAAAATAGCAACTCGAGGCACTAAACGCCCACAATTCTTCATATTAAATACTAGCATTCAAGTCGTAAAGATTCTTAACTTTTTCACAAACCATTTTTCTGGCTTTCATATGCGCATTTTGATACGTTTAACATACATTCTGTTTTTCTATACACTTGACAAGCTATGATGTTTTACAAATGGTAGATAAGATGGTGCTTCCATAACTCAATTATTTTAATCCATTTCAATCTTACACCAAGAAGATAATCACTCCTTTCCATTCTTCATAGCTCCATCTCGGACGTTTCAAGTTCATTGCCCGAATCAGTCGCAACGACACTCAGCCAAAAGTGAAATGATGAATCCACCAATCTACAGGATAAATGCAGTAAAGGCAAATACCTAATAACAAAATTATTCGATTTGTTTGACTTTCATCTGTCTAAATTTAAAGTACACAAACCGTAATTGACATTCAAAAGTTTTTAGAATTAAAATATCGGATTACTGCATAGTGCATACAGTTCATGGGTCGATTTACTCTTTCGAATTTACTTTTCATGGAAATTCTATGGTAATTTAAGCGACCTTAACATGTTGATATTTCTGCAGAGAGCGCACTCTATTTCCATATGTATCATAAAACTGTGATCATCAAGTTTACTCTCTCTTACATTTGTAGCATGACTTACCACGGCGACAACAAGATTATTGCATTCAATATCTTTATGAACAGACTTCCAAGAATCGCAAAGACCCGAAGCTTTATATGATCTCGTATTATCGGCCAAAATACCAGCAGAGATCAACAGTATTACGGTGAAAATGACAAAGATTATTGCCATCTATAAATCATTTATAAAGAAGAATTATTTATAATATCATTCAAAGCTGATCTCAATAACACAACTACATTGATTATGAGCTGGTTGATTATGCACGGTAAGTTGATTGGCCGTTGGAATTTTTACTCACCTAATTTCTCTTACAAAAACGTTAGATCACTTTTCATATGGATGGAAGACTTATCTACATGTTATTATGTAATAAACTTGTCTCAAAAACGTTAAGTATATATTGAATGCATTTGGTCTCTTGAACAAGTATATACTGTTTCTCATACCGCTAAAACCCAATTTACTTGGTGAAGAATCTTGTGTCCGCCAACAGTGAACGTGCCTCGAGTGTGAAGAGAAGATAACGGTTATTAGGCAGGTGGTGACCAATAACTGTATCATCCACACACCTTGCACTGCTGCCATCTGTAAAAGTTGAATGGCATTATTCACCATTAAACAGTAAGAGAAAGGCACTCCATATGAAAGGGTTGAAAATAAACCTCGGCAGACTTAAATACTAGATTATACTTATATATGCAGCAAAGAATTTGACAGAACTGATTAACAGATGTAAACTTTGTAAGAAACACTCTTCCTGTAGTCTTAAACATAATGAACTTACAGCTGCAGCATTGTGCTTTTTATTGATTAATCCATTAAAGTTGAGTACCAATCCAACACTTGAAATAACAACTCCGACGCCGGTCGTATGGAGAAAAAATCCCTCTCTACCAAGAATGCCTTGTTTTTATGATTTATCGCCAATTTCATCAACGGATTCTTTTGTGAAGTAACCAACACATCCTAAACAAGCGACAAGTGCAGCCTGAAATATGTAAAAAGAAGGATTTATGTCAGTTTTCTTAAGAGAACTTCATCATTTATATTGTTATGTAAGTGTAGTATTTCAGTGGGCGATAGCGATATACTATAATACAAAATTGGTTTATAAATAACACTTACAATTTGACAAATTTTGAGAATGACTGATGGTAAAGTGAAGCTCATTGTTTGATCTGAAAGTGCAAAACGTACTAAACGTTATTCCAGTGATCAGAGGCGTAACTAGAACGTTAATCGAGGGAGTGCATATTCCTATATTCAGTTGTGCCCTACTGATTTCTTTTGAAATTCAAATTAATTTCAAAAGAAATCAGTAGGACACAACAGAATATATGAACATGCACCATCCCCAATCAACGTTCTAGTTACGCCACTGGCATTGATCATTTGAAAACTATATTTAATAACGAAGTTGATGTCCACCGTTGACCCTCATCTCGTAAATATATATAGTAAATGGTTTGTATTAAAATCATAATCCCTAGAACATTGAAAACGAAGGCTACCATGCATTATTCATAAAACTGCTTCATAACAAGCTAAAGTTCCTGTTTTTTATCGAGGCTCTTGCTTTTAGTTGTTGAGTGTTGTCTTTATGTGTCTCAACGGTAACTTATCTATTTACGAATAAAGGTTGGTTTTAACCAGCTTTTTATATGGTATGGTAATAAGTATACGTCACCGAGTTGTCAACTGTCAAACGGAAATCCTCGTCATGGTGAATATCACACCCCAATGCTACATAGAAACGTGAGGAGGTTGACGTTGTTTGTTGTCAAACAGACTACTTGATATATTTGATAAACAAGCAAACTACGACATAATAACGTCACCATTAAAACATGAACATGCACATTTGCACGCAGCATATACTGATTAATGCTGAAAGAACCCGATGTATGTATTTATGATATAATAAATATCTGACTATTTATTTATAATATATGAGTAAACACGAAAACTATTAAAGATTATAAAATATCAAGTTAAAGACTAAAATTTTGTCAAAGTCGAAATCATATAGTTGACTGCAGACTTGCTTAATGCCTGTCGTATTACAATCAAATACCTTAACTATTTGACACACCTGTAATTTCCTGGAAAAGCTCCTCTAATTAGTTGCAGCGACATAAGCAATTGCCACAATACAAAATACCTATCTACGAAAATTCTGACAGGTTGAAAGGAGTTTAAAATTAGTGTTGGTGTTACTATTCTTCTTTGGGTTTGATTAGATATACCATCATTTAAATACACATCAATTGTTTTATGCATGTGTAGATGCATGTGTTGTATATTGTTTCTAATAAATGTGCTCATGCATGATTTTCTTGTATTCTGCTTTTATCCTATAGAATTTCTTTTTTGGAAAAATGCAAGCTGTTACTGAAACGCAAACCGAGCTATATGATGTAAAAAGTCACTGGATTTCTCGTTGTGTGAATTATTAGAACTTTCTATCTTCTTTCTCAAATGAATTCCGTGGAGGAACATCGATCAATTTTACATATTCCTGTTGTTTCCTACTTACGTCAGTCTTCAGTCATGTTGTCTTTCATCTTTGGGTAAGCCACCCCTTACGAAAATTTCACATTTTATTTCATATATGAAATTGGAATTCACGAATATCGAAAATACTTTTTTCAATAAAAGAAGACAAGTCTATATTGATACTGTATAAATCAGTATTAATTTTGTTGCGTTTTATGTCAGAATTCAAAAAAGTGCAGAGACATGAGCACTAGAAAGACAAATCTCTTAATCAACAGCAAGGAGGAAAATTCTTATCTTTATTCAAATGCATGCTTGATGATGTAACAGTTACTTTATATGAAAAAGTTACAATAACCTAAATGACACAAAAATATTGATTTTGTTTGTTGGTTGAGGACTAAATGCGATTAACTAGCTCTCCATGTAAACTCTGTTCCTTAGAAGTTGTGAAAGTGAAAATAGCATCCACTCCATACAATATGGCGGCAACAAAACCAGAGACCTATGAAAGATAACAGAAGTATTTAAACTCTTCTTCTCATCAAGAATAACTATATGAACGAAACGACAGTTGCAAAGTTTGCCTTTACAAAATGTAACATCAACTGTTCAACTTACGATTCCACCAATCAATTGACCACAGGTGTAATCATATTTCCTGTCTGCGGCGTCATCCCAAACTTTACATAGAGACTTGCCTCCTATGTCCTTGTTGAACGAAGAGAAGATAACGGTAATTAGGCAGGTGGTGACCAATAGCTGTATCGTCCACACACCTTGCACTGCTGCCATCTGTAAAAATAGAATGGCATTATTCACCATTAAACAGTAAGAAAAAGGCACTTCTTTTGAAACGGTTAAGAATAAACCTCAGCAGACTTAGATACTAGATTATGCTTATATATGCAGAAAAAAATTTGACAGAACTGATTTACAAATGTAAATTTTGTAGCAAATATTCTTCTTGTAGTCTTAAACATAATGAACTTACAGCTACAGCATTGTGCTTTTCATTGATTAATCCACTAAAGTTGAGAACCAATCCAACGATTGAAATAATAACTCCGACGCCGGTCGTATAAAGAAAAAATTCCTCTCGACCAAAAACGCCTTGTTTATATGCTTCTGAATTAGAATCCTCAATATGATCAACGTATTCTTTTGTGAAGTGACCAACACATCCCAAACCAGCGACAAGTGCAACCTAAAACATGTAAAAAGAAAGATTTATGTAAGTTTTCTTAAGAGAACTTAATCATTTATATTGTTATGTACGTGCAGTATTTCAGTGGGCGATAGCGATATACAAAATTACAAATATTAATTCATATATAATACTTACAATTTGACAAATTTTGAGAATGACTGATGGTAAAGTGAAGCTCATTGTTTGATCTGAAAGTGCAAAACGTACTAAACGTTATTCCAGTGATGAGAGGCGTTACTAGAACGTAAATTGGGAGAGTGCATATCCCAATATTCAGTTGTGCCCTACCGTTTTCTTTTGAAATTCAAATTACTTTGAAAAGAAATCAGCAGGACACAACAGAATATATGAATATGCACCCTCTACAATTAACGTTCTAGTTACGCCACTGGCAGTGATCATTTGAAAACTATATTTAATTACGAATTGGATGTCCACCGTTGACCCTCATCTCTTAAATATATATAGTAAATGGTTTGTATTAAAATCATAATCCCTATAACACTGAAAACGAAGGCTATCATGCATTATTAATAAAACTGCTTCATAACAAGTTAAAGTTCCTGTTTTTATCGAGGCTCTTGCTTTTAGTTGTTGAGTGTTGTCTTTATGTGTCTCAAAGGTAACTTATCTATTTACAAATAAAGGTTGGTTTCAACCAGCTTTTTATATGGTATGGTAATAAGTATATGTCACCGAGTTGTCATAGAATAGAGAATATATAGAAGGGCAACTCGCAGGTGAAACGCGTGGCATATTTTCTGTGCGCATGCGTTAGGTCCGCCATTACTCTGGCCAGTAACTTGACGCTGGTGTACTATAAAATAATATTGGAAAAGTGCGATTTTGGGATAATAATCGCCTAAAACGCAAACTGTTTTGGAAGATCATGGAATTTTGTGAAACGCTTACATCAAAGGTTACCGACGCGAGTTGCCCTTCAATCTCTATTCTATGAAGTTGTCAACTGTCAAACGGAAATCCTCGTCATGGTGAATATCACACCCCACTGCTACATAAAAAAATGAGGAGGTTGACGTTGTTTGTTGTCAAACAGACGACTTGATACATTTGATAAACAAGCAAACTACGACATAATAACGTCATCATTAAAACATGAACATGCACATTTGCACGCAGCATATACTGATTAATGCTGAAAGAACCCGGATGTATGTATTTATGATATAATAAATATCTGACTATTTATTTATAACATATGAGTAAACACGAAAACTATTAAAGATTATAAAATATCAAGTTAAAGACTAAAATTTTGTCAAACTCGAAATCATATAGTTAGTTGACTGCAGACTTGCTTAATGCCTGTCGTATTACAATCAAATACCTTAACTATTTGACACACCTGTAATTTTCTGGAAAAGCTCTTTAATTAGTTGCGGCGATATAAATAATTGCCAC